GTTTCCAGGGGAAGCCTATGGAACAAGAAGGACTCCTTTCCTCTTCATGAACTGCAGTTTGAGTATACTAAAGTGTGGGGCCAAGGCTGGGCAGTTGATGATTTGGGAGAATGTATCGGATTGGGAAAGTCAGGTAGTGGGGAGGGGGAAAGTGGTTTTTGTAAGGTTTTCAATTTTTTTTTTCTTTTCCTTATAGTCTTTCCCTATTTTCCTGTAGTTTAGGTAATAAAGTGTTCTTTATGTTTAAGCTAAAGCCTGTTTTGCTTATTCCTGGTCACATCTCACAGCAGACACCAGGGTGAGGGCATTTTCATGGGGGGGCACTGGCTCTGTGCCAGGCTCAAACCATGACAATTTTAAACAGAGATTTGTTTAAAAAGGAAGGAAGCCAAATGTTCTGGGGAGAACAAAAGGGAGGTTTTGGTGAAGTGGTATTTGCCACAATTGCAGAGGAAGACTTTTGGGGCTGGATTCAGCTGTTGTGTGGATGGGTGCAAGTACAGGCAAACTGTTGATTAGGGCCGAGCTGTACCAGATGTGCATCAGCATATGAGAGTGTGCAGCTTCACTTACAGCATTTTTATTCCTGCTCATGGCAGGCTGCTTTTTCTCTTCTTTCAGCTCTCTCTTGCTAATTGTTCATGATGAACAATTGCCTACTCCTTGTAATTGGAAGGGCATTACATGCCATGGATGCCATTGTTGCAGCAAACCACTTCCTTGTCATGGCTCTTATGTCCTTGCTTTGTAAGAACATAAATGAGCTCTTGTTTATCATCTGAAAATAGGGTAACATCAAATTTTTGCATCTGTCCAACTGAGCATCTGCAAGGTCTATTGTGCAGACGTGTTTAACCTGGCCTGGCACCAGGAGCATTATTGCTGTCCCTAGAATGGCCTGGGATGCAATTGGATGTCAAATCCCCATACATTACACAGACTTGAGCAGATTACTGCAGTTTGCCACGAGCTTGGATTGTCTACTCACTTTAAAAAGAAAAGCTAGGACTTTTCTTTGTGAAACTTACCACACCCCTTACAATGCAAATCAAACAACAGAAACACAGAACAAGCTGGGTTGGAAGGGATCTTAAAGATGATCAAGTTCCAAGCTCCCTGTCATGGACAGGAACACCGTCCATTAGATCAGGTAGCTCAAAACCCCATTCAACCAGGCCTTGAACACTTCTAGGGATGAGGCATTTACTACTTTCCTGTTCCAATGCTTGACAACACTTTTGGTGAAGAAATTTCTCCTAATGCCAAAATGAAATCTCCCATGGTGTGACTTGAGGCCATTTTCTCCTGTCCTACTGCCTGTTACTTGACAGAACAGACTGAACCCCACCTCCCTAAAACCTCTTTCAGGTTCTTGCAGAGGAGCCATGATATCTGGACTCTGTGCTGACAGTCAAGCATCCCAGTACACAAATGCATCATGAGAGTGTCTGTGGGACATCTGCTCTGCTCCTGCCAGTTTCCCCAGAGCCCATCAGCTCCCTAGCCCTTCAAAGCATGGGCACAACCCTAGAACAGAGTTTGCAGTGACACGGGGACATACCCTGGCGATTACAAGCCCATTTTGCTCAACAGAGCTTCAAAACATTAAACTGTCTTCTAAAGACTCTTTAGTAGCAGTTATGGGTTGCTCATGTGGTCCACAAAAGCTGTGCTGCTAAGATAATATTTCAGCTCCCCAAGTCACATATGACAGGGATACCTCAACATGCTGTGGGTCTGGTCAAGACTTGAAGACCATTCAAGTGAAATTAAATGGCTTTCTCAGCAGTGCTTATCTTACTTCCCTGATTTGAGGAAGGGTTGCATGTGTCAGGAAATGAGGCTGACATAAACCGTAGATCTGTTCCTGGTTCCCTGTCAATGTTAACTGCCTTGCCCACACTTGAATTTCTCCCTTGCAGTTAATCCCTCAAGTACCACCTTAGGCTATGAAGTGAGGTGTCCCCCTCCTTCACTAGGTAACACCTCTGGGGCTCTCTGTTGCTGAATCCTGGGAGAGCTGAACCATGTTATTATTTTCCTGTAGAGGATGGGAGAGTGTTTCTGCTGGTGCTGGGCACACAGGGAGAGCCCTGGGAAGACAAGAAAGGACTGCTAGTATTGGAATGGCATTTGTGTGCATGCACCTTCTAACAAAGGTATATTATAAGGTATACTATGCTTAATGGTCCTTCAATGGGCAGAACCCTGGACTAGTCATCCATAGCTAAAACACAACTGATTATAACCTACAGAACATAGGTAGAACATAGTTTAGAGGTAGCACTTAAATTAATGGCATGTGCTAATTGCCAGTCATGCTGATTTTACAACACAGGCAACATTTCATTGATGGTCTAAAAGAGAAGGGTAAATAAAAGGCAAGCATAAAGCCCAATGTAGCAAAACTAATTCTACAGAATGGCTGCTTGCTTTTTCATTTCACCAGTGGAAGTCTCTAAAATAAACAGAACAACCAATTTAAAGCAGATGCATGGAACAACAATTAGATTCTGTCTCTGGTTTTAGTCTTTTTAAACCACAGTGTTTGGTTCTCAGAGCTCAAAGGAACTGCAGACCAAATCAGAAGTTTCTTATAAGTTAGCAGTGTGGAGGAAGCAGATTTATGGCTGTTTAACAAGGCGAGATGAAATGTCCCTGTTTAAACAACCAAATTTAAAAAAAATATGCTAGTGATGGAATCTGGAGATGAACATCCAGAGCTCCTGCCTGTGAACTTGTTATCAGCTTGGGGACAATAGAGCTAAGCAGTAAATGGCCAGCTCAGGCACTGCTTCTTAATCAATGAAACAGTGAACTCACGATCTGGTAGTTGCTATCCTGTGTGGCACAAAAAATGAGATCTGGAGTGAATCAAAAATGAAATGCGTTAAAACAGGGCTTATTACTGAGAAGTAGCACAATCACATTTTTACTTCCCTTTGTAATTTTGGGAGGGACTACATAACGAAATAGCAAATACAAAAAAGACCTCTGGAAAGCCACATGGGTCTGATTTCCCATTTCCCTGCCCACTGTGTCATCGTTTACCTCAGAGGCTTTGCATAACTGTGTGTGACTACCCACAGCTTCTGATCTCGTGAGACTGAAGTCATTCTTCAAACAGCAGTCAGCTTTTAAGGACTCAGTGGAGGGGGACATGATGCTGGGCAGGACAACTAAGCTAAGACAAATAAATGTTTTTCAGACAGGGGAGCAAATGCTGGAAATTCCCTGGGGAGCAGGCTTGTGACACAGTTATATCATTGCAGACAGTTTTTCAAAGCTGGGGGTGGGTTGGGTGCCTCTTGACAGCCTGGCTCAGACAAGCTGTGCAAAATAGAGGAGTTTACCTGTGTGTGTTTGCGCAGGGTTACCAGGACGCTTGCGGAGAGCCAAAATGGTGCTGCAGGGAAGTTACACAAACTTACTGGAATCTCAGTAGGGTCTGTTTTGGTTTGGTTTCCTTTCATGCAGTTTGAACAGATAATTTAGACATTTTCCCACTAGCAGTTCCAAAACCCTTAAGAGCAAATCACCCTTCATCTCAGGGCACGTTGCAGAAGGGCTGTGACATGCCACTGCTTGGTGTGAGGGTGGCCAACCATCTGCACCATGGGCAGAGAGGAGACAGATCAGGCTGTGCCCACAGGTGTTACCCTCAGCCACAGCACCCATATGGATCTGGAAATGCAGGTTATTTTACCTGTCTTTGCCATGTTTTGTGTTGCTGATGCAGAGTCACCCAGACACGGAGATACAAAAGAGAGAGATGATGTTGTGGTTGCAGCAGGCAGGGAGGGATTCAGCTCAGGGGAACATGCTTAATGCAATGAGGAGACCTGGAGTGCTTTACATTAAGGTAGGGTCTAGTCCATTACTTAGCAACCATGCTGTCACTCATTTTTCAGTATTTATCATGTTTCTGCCTCTTTCTTTGCCTTTTTTTTTTCCCCATTGTGAGTTATTGATCTTTAAGTGGTTTCTCTTTAAAGGCCCCATAAATAGACATTAAGTAGCAGCAGAATCTGCAGGCATGCAGATGACATGGTGCCTGATGAACCACCACTAGAACTCAGTAGACATCTACCTTGTCATGTTCTTTGAAGGCTCTTATCCTGATCCAAAAGATCCTACTGATCATTTTTTTCTCCTTGCATTTACAGTTCCAGACTGTGAGATCATAGGACAGCCTGGTATTTGTTAAAATTTCCAAATGTGGAGTGAGTACCTCCCTCTCCCTTTTGCTACTCACATACATGTAATTAATTTGTGTTCACAGCTTCCCATTCTGATCTCCAGCCTTATTTTAAAACACTTCTTATGTGTACTTTCAACATGCTTTGGTCTATTTCTGTGTAAAACACTCAAAAACAGCATCAGAAATTATGAAACCACTTAAGCGTTTGGATAAAAACAAAATCCCAGAATTTGTTTATATTCACAAATGGTACCTATTTAAACAGTTTTTGCAACTGTTTTTTGCTTCCTCTGGCAGCAAGTTTAATTTTTAAAAATTTGAATTTAATTCCAAAAGAATAAATAGGACAGCAGATATTTACAGAAAAATTTGATTGTTATATTATGAAAAGAGCATTTTCTCCACAGCCTTCCAAATGGGATCTAAACAACATCTTGCAAAAGACTAAAACATGATCTATCAGTCCAGCACAGAAAAAAATTATAACCCCAAGTATTCTTGTAATAACAAAACATTACAGATAAACTGAGTAAAGGCTGCAGGGCCATTCTGCTACCCTCTGTTTCTGCTCTATCCTATTAAGCTCTTTCTGCAGCACAGTGAAAGTCAGTGTTATGAAATGGGTATCTAAATTCTACATAATGTTCTTTTAAATGCATTAATTAAGAAAATGCATGTGCTTTGCTTGTAGAGAAGATCTTAGGCTCTAAGAAGCCTTGCAGAAAAGTGAAAGTGTGGGATGATGAGCAAGTTGTCCAGCCCAGAGCTTGCATGCTGCAACCCTGTCCCTGCAGCTTACCTTTGAAACAGCAGAAAATATTCCAGAGCATGGCAAGCAGGAGGCAAGCAGCCATCTGGATGTTTGCGTATTTTGATGGACATGATGACAACGTTGGTGAATGACAGGCCCTTTACCCTGAGTCCTGCTGCAAAATACCAGTAATGAAGGAATACAGCATTCAGATGCCACATGTATTCATTCCTCATCTTCTTCAGAAACAATTAATGTCTAACTAAGGACAAGCCTGTCTTCCTGGTTAGGTAAAATTGGAAGGAGAGTAAAAGTTGTCACAACTTGCAAACCAATGGGGAACAAAAGCACCTTTTCCTGCCTACAGCAGACTGCTATGATTTATTGATGGATTCCACTCCCAGTATTTCAGTGTTAAATTCTATTTGCTGCTGGTTTTCCTTCTCTAGAAACTGAAGTATCAGACTGATTAAAATATGAGAAAATATACAAGACGTGTTATTTTTAGGCAGCTTTTCTATTGGGAGAGAAATATACAGGGGAAAAAAAACAACAAAAAATTTGACAATTTATCATCATACAACTATGAGTAAGATGATAAATAAAAGTAGTTAGACAGAAATTAAAATACACTTTTATCCCTGGTGATTTTGACCACTTGCAAAGTCTTTAGGAACCTATAAAGTGTGGCCTTGTCATTAACCCAATATGCCTTTGACAGGGAGAGGAGTGTCTTCATTGTAAAGGCATTTGAACATCCTACACTCAGAGCTGATCCTTGTTGTATCTCATGACATCATTTCAAATGTTTTAGTGGTTACCAGCTGTTGTACTGGACAGTAAAGGAAGCTGATCAAAGCTCAGCTCCAGAGACATGTTGATGGTCTGGATTTTTTTGTAGTGCTTCTCCCTAACCAAACCCTGCATTTGCCTCCAGAATCAACACGTGCATATGCGTCACAGGTCTGCAAAGAGAAATGGCTTTATTTTGGATTTTTTTTTTCCAAGGAATCAGCTTGCTCTGAACATGTCTTTGCCCTAAGAACTACAAGAACTAAGTGCTAAATATTGCACCATGATACCCTTTTTCTCCCGGAGAGAGTCTTCACAGAGGGAAAGGAGGACCTTGGCATTCTGTGCATTCCTGGTTTGCAGTCAGGTCAGCTTAAAAAGATAAAGTGCAATCTGCTGCTTGCTATCTGTTATGAGAAATAAAGCCTGATAACTTCAGAGTAATATTTAGCTTGTCATTCTTGGGCTATTACACTGAGTTAGGAGTGCTAAAAAAAGGGATTTATTTCCTTCTCTCTCTCTTACTGTAATAAGTCTCAGATTATTAATGCTGCAGGCTTCAAAGTCTGTTTTGTTCATAGCTGCTGGATGGAGAACAGGGGAAAACAAAGACCAGATTTGCAATGGTCTGGGCATTAAATCCTTTCAAGAAGTGTCTTTTGGCACCATTGTGAAGAGCTATTAATGACATTCCTGGATGACTGCAGAAAAATAACAAGTTTTTTTTAAATGGCTATAAAATCTTCGATTAGCTACCTGACAAATAGGTGTTTTCAGTTGATTTAGGGCCCAGATCTGCTTTCTGCTAAGGCTTTCCTATAAAGTCTTTTTCAATTGCTGCTTTATAGGAGCATGAAAGGGAATCAGGGCCCACTTTAAATGGGGATTGGGATTTCGGAATGCAGCCACCTTCTTGACAAACAAGCAAGTATGGATCAACCATGCCCAGAAATGAATGGGAAGCAGCAACTGCAACATTTCATTACATCTGCAAATACAGAACATTAAAAAAGCAGGCAAGCAAACAAACAAAAATCAACCAAAAAGCTCAAAAAAAGTTAAAAACTCTAAAGAAAAAAAAAAGAGTAGGTGAAGTTGGGGATTCTGGCTGGCTCAGAGTAACAAGTATCTCTCAGGTGTGAGTATCTGAACTATATGAGCAGACTGCTGTGTTAACCTCACCACTTTCTAATGGCTGACCTCCTGGGAAAAGGACCACTGGCTGCTTTTCCCAGATAGGCAGAATTTTTAAAATCATCCCGGAGGTTTCCTTTTCAAGCTTACTTGAGTTTTTCTAACTTTTGAAGCATTATTCATTGTGTCTAAATATAGGAAAGTGTGTCACAACATGAAGAACCTTTATCTGAAGCTTTTCCTGTGACTCACACATGTACTGTTTAGGTTACTACATTCATTGCAAGTGCCTGCTCCAGACAGAAATGGCAGCAAGAGTTGCTTAAACCAGTTCAGACTTTTCAGCTTTGCAGAACATCATCCAGCATGTTGCTAGGTGCTGACTCCAGGAGGCATCACTCCCTGTTCTCAGGGCAGTGAACACTTGTAGTAGGTATGCTGATAGTACCTTTCTAACTAGGCAGATACTGAGATCAAGCAAGAGAATTGGTTAGGGAATGAGCTGTCTCAGAATTTAAATATTTCCTTTTATATTTTGCAATACCCAGAGGGTTAAAGCCCTCAGGGATATGTAAAAAAGAAGAGGGAGCAATATCATGATGCTCCTTCCTTTTTATTTTATAATTCTCAAATGATGCTGGCCAGGTAGACCCACCACCAGAAACCTTTTCATTAGAGGAAAAACAGAATTTTTTGAATGTCATCTATGTGTATGCAGTGAAACGATTTATTACAAAAAAGCAAGTTCATGCACATGTGGTCCAATGAGCCAGGTTATTTTAGCAGAGGACACACAGCAGACCAGAGTAGTCACGGGAATTAGGACACAGTTTAGAGGGGAAGTTCTGGTATTGCCCATAGCTGAGTGACAGCAACTGGGAGGTCACAGAGCAGTCAGTCAGAAGCACAAAGCCAGGCAAGACTTACTGACTGCACCCTTAAAAGATTCTCTGCTGTAGGAATTCTTAGTGGGGGGTAACAAATTTCTTGCCTCCTCTTACTGGAAGAGGTGGGAAGCAAGGTCATTTGTGGGAGTAAAATGCACTTGATCTGATAATTTCCTCATGTCACTTGTGGGTCCTGTCTAATCCTTTTCTTTGGCAATGTTTTTGTCCATCTGTGTTTATCTCTACTCTGAGTGTCCCACTGGCTTTTAAATTTGTGGATGTGCTCCAGATTCAGTGATGAATTTGGACTTTATGATATTTATATCTCCACCCTTGACTGTTGCACAAGATTACACCACTGGAAAGTTTAACCCCAGGTTTTAAAAGAGTTATTGATTTAGGGGAGAAAAAGAAAAAGATAACTTTTTTGTCTTTAAAAAACATAGAGAGGAAAAAGTTGAAGAGGGGGTTAACTTTTAACTGTGTTCAAGAGAGCTTGAACATCATCAGACGGTGAGATCTGTGAAGTATGACAGGATGAAAACATGCTCCCAATGAAAGCAAGTTGTTGCAAGTGGGAGAAGAAGTGAGGAACAAACCCCAAAGCAACATGATCCTGAATTGTGAGAAGTAGATCTTCAACCTATTCCTAGCAAATAAAAATGCTGCAGTTGGTCTTATCAGATGATTGTATAGTAGGTAGCAGAAGAGAAGAGAAAGTGAATGGAGGTGGTGTTTTCCAGATGAAGGACGTCCCATATGCCAGGACAGTCTCCTCTGATCCCAGCTGCCCTGGAAGAGAACAAGCAATCTCAGGCAATCTGTGCTTCTGCCAGCTGTGACTGGCCCAAGGCCCTTAGCAGCTTCCCCGAGATACAGGTGGTGGGGCTGCCAAAAAGTCCCTATCTCCCTTCCCAGTGCAGCTCCCACTACTCCCTGTGTGCTCCTGGTCCTCTGGTGGTGTCCCATGCCCCTGTAGCAGCAGCTGCACATCCTCCCTCCTACCACCCACTGCCAGGCTGCCAGCCCTTCTCTTCCCCTCGGGCAGTCAGGGGAATGAGTTTTACTCCTCCAGGACTGTTGATCATTCCTTGCACTGATGATTTATTTAAGGGATGAAACCATGACTAGCAGTTACAAACTTTTGACTGAATGTTTTCATTCTTAGGCTGTCACAGACCTCTATTTTTAGTCAGCTGGAACAGTGGCAGGATTATCAGCATTAGTAATTTCTGGTGTTTGTGAGCATTTTCAGATTCTTACCCAAAAGGAAGAATTCCTTCTGAAATATTTTATTTCATCTTTTAAAATAATTTAGAAAAGTTGGACTTTCATTTTTAACTTTTATTATGTTAAATTGCCAAAGCCAAGAAAACCACCAGCAGCTTTTGTTTGGATGCTTTTTTTGGTTGTTGTTACAGTAGAATATTGCAAGAATCAGACTAATCAACAGCACAAAGCAGGAGGCTTTTTTTAAACAGTACTGAGAAAGATGCACAACAGTTGACATCTTTAAAGCGACTGAGCACACTTCATCTATTATTGAAATTAATGAAGTTTAGAGCTTATCAGTACTATTGATGATCAGACCTTGTATCTTTCTGCTTTGGTTTCCTTGAAGTTAATTACACTTTGATTAAACTCTGGGGTTTCTTGAGTGTGACTACATCCTAGGAGCATTACAGGAATTTATCTGGGACTCAAAACACCTATTGCTTTTCCCTGAACAGGGGTGACGAGGAGCAAAACAAGCAGCTGCACATGGCATCAGCTTTCCTACACAAGGTTGTTGTGATTACTCACCTTTGTGCAGTACATGGTGTTTTATAAATGGTAAGCACTCTGCAATAAACTGATTGTTGTTGTTGCTTGTAAAGGCAGAAAGAGAAAAATGGCTACATTAGTAAGAATTAAAGATACCGAACTATTGCATCCAGAGTTAATGAGAATTCAGGTCTCTATCCTCAAACATATTCTGTTGAAACTAATGCTTAGCTCCGGCTGGATGAGACTGTCTTTCTTCTACAAAGTTCCACCTTAATTTAAACTCTGGAATAATCATACCAGGTTTTGAACATTTGAAGGTCTGGCCCTGCGAATAGTTGTTAAAAACTCCCATGGAATCCTAAGAAATCTTGAACAGATGGTAAGATTTGCAGTGGGAAAATGATGACTAATTGACATCCATGTAAGGTAATCTGTTACTTGCTAGAAAAATAACATAATTAAAAGGAAAAAGCACCAGAGAGCACGAGTGTGAACACGTAGACATGAGTCTGCACTTGATACTGGAGTGTTTGTAGTTTCCCCATCATTTTTCATATGACTTCCAAAGCAGAATAATTGTACTTAGTGAACTAGGCACAAGGAAAATATGATTCAAAACACAATAAGCAAGTATTT